ACCCCTTTCTGTAACGCAGGTCTGGTTCCCACATGTACGAGAGTTGACAGGATTGCAGGATTGCAAAAAAGCAAACTCAAGTACTGTCAAGTTGCTCTCCTTGATGCCACTTAACCACACAAAGAAACAAATACATATTCATTTATATTGCACATGAAAACCAGGAATGGAAAGAAATAAAGAAGCCTACAAGCTTGGACCAAAAAGTATTTTGGAAGAGTTTTACTGCTGAAGATAGTAGACACTAGAGTGCCAACAAAGTGCGTGAAGTATGATTTTAATGGCTCGCAAACCTGGTTTTGTCTCCTTGCTACCAGCAGTAAATGAAGTGAAGTGCTTGTATAGCGTACAAGTACATACGCAAAAGGGATAAACAAGACTCGACGCAGGCACAAAAAGACCCAAAACCAGAAACTTTGCAATCCATTAAGATGTTGATAAAACCATTGACATATTTCTAGCGACACCGATTCAAGAAAATGTCACCAGGATACATTATTAAAGCCCACGTACGTGCTTGCAGTTATTACAGAATGGCACGTCTAATCCCAACGATGCCAGACGGTCTCTATACAAATGTCTCATATCTGATCAAAGATTTGGCATTCCTGGATTGGAAATGCCAAGTTTTGTCCCCTGGGCCGTGTCTTCTGCCCAGCCAGGGCGCTTAAGGCAAGCAAGATGAATTTCTTGGCTAACTCACTGTCGCTCCTCTCTCTCAAATTTAACCGATGCTCGACTCACAGGAATTACCGAGCGATACCGTCTAAATTCGCACGCACCGTGTGGAGCTCTCGACAAATATTTATCTCCATGATCGCAATTTCTCTGAAAAGAGACCAATTACGATTTCCGACAATTTCCCGAGTTCTGCAGGCAGAATGAGGCCGGGCCTATCATGTATCTCCAGTTTAATTTTCTAGAAAGTCGGGATAGCGTCGCAATGTCATTTTAAGGGCGTGGTGCAGGCGTCAAAAGAAATCTGTGATCCGTTCAGAATTACTAACAATATATTAATGTGTCCTTTACCTTCACGCTGCCTTTGAGTGATTACATTGTTTGGTTGTATTCGCATTTTATGACGACCAGGAAGACTTATTGCAACTTTGAAAATTGCGTCTCATAATGTAGAACTGCTCATCTCAACAGCTTTATCTGAGCCAGCCCATCTTAATCTTCCGTAGAGACACACTCCTTACATATGTATTCTTGTGAGGTATTTCCTTTGTTCTCGTGTACAAAATTCCCACAACATACACGGAAAAAAATTCAAATCAATGCCATTTCAACCAAATTCGGTTTCCTGGGTTGAAATTTCGACCGTATGTCCCTTATATAAAACACTTCAATTTGCGACGAATGAATGGCTCTTGAAAATTCTTCCTTTTGGAGAAAATTTGAAATATCTGCTTTGTGAAATTCTTGTGGGGTACCACTTTAGTACCCCCACAAGGATCAAAACTGGCCTTGTGGGGTACCTTCCATTGTTCCGGTACCCTACAAGGCACCATGTACAAGTGCACTGTGTGGTGCGCGTCCTCATGCAGTGGCTTCAGGTGTACGTGCACAAAGGCCAGGCATAAGGGATAAATGGAGTGTTAAATGAGCCTTGACATTGTGGTGTTGTTGTCGGCTACTGCACGGAGTGCCCAACGCTCAAACACAACCGGGACTTCGAAATAATGTGCTGTAACCTTTTGAAAAGTCTTAATGATCTGTAATAAGCCCGTTGATGACCATCGAAATTGACGTTTCGCATCTCACTTTCGTAAAAGCATTTTGTCAGAGGCGCTGTATTTTCCACAAGATTCATCCCGAATAGTACTATTTCGGGACGGGCCTTTTTGCCTAATTTCTTTTGAGACTGCACCGGTAAAATTATTGACACCTTGACATTAAAGACAGCAGAAATCAGTAACATATTGCCTTCCCAATGTAATCGCTAATAGATCTACAGGCATGCATAGTCACTAGAAGCAAAGAAGCAAGGTGCCATTGAAACTTAATTGCCATCGGCATATATATAGCAGGCAAAAAGTGCCTTTGAAATGCACTTTATTTTTCGAGAATACGAACAAGAAAACATTAGGGTCAATAAGAACAAAGTGCCTTATACTTGATCTTTTTGTCAATTTCTGCTCAAGTTGGTAATTCAATCTCTGTTTTCTACATGCAGAGAAAATGTCACCGAGTCTGTGAAAGTCTCGCATATCTCAGTCACACAAAAGATGTTTGACGACGTTATAGTTGATTAATTAAGATAAACGTGCTTTATTTTTCGCAGCAACAGTGC